CAATTCCACTGAAATCAGGGACAAGACAAGACTGCCAATTCTCTCTATATCTCTTCAATACAGTACTTGAAGTCCTAGCCAGAGGATTAAGACAACTAAAGGAGATCAAAGGAATAAAAATTGGAAAAGAAGAAGCCAAAGTATCACTTTTTGTAGATGATATGATGTGTGACTTAATCTTTAGTAATGTTTCTTCTATGAATGTGGAAGAAATATCCTATGAATAGAAACATCTACGCATTTGAGACATAGATGTTCTGAATTGAGACCTCATCTTGGTGGATTTTTTTTCCTTTGAGGAGTATGTCGTTGCCTCCCCATCCCTTTTGATTAATTTTGGTTAAAGTCTATATTTTTAGATACTGGAATGGTTACTCCAGCTTGTGTTTTGTGTCATTTGCTTGGAAAAACTTTTTTTAGCCTTTTCCTCTGAGGTAATGTCTTATCTTTGCTACTGAGGCATGCTTCTTGGATGTGGCAGAATGATTTATCCTGTTTTCACATTCATCTGTTAGCCTGTGTCTTTTTATTAGGAATTGAATCAAATGATGTTGAAAGATATTAATGACCCATGATTGTTAATTTCTGTTATTTTTATGATGGTGATTGTAGCACACCTCTTTACAGGTGTTTAAGTGTGTGTATGTTTCTCTTCTTTCAGGTTTTGCTCTTCTGGGAGTATTCATTTCCCATGTTTTTTTAGATGTAGTTAATCTCTTTCAGTTGGAGTTTTCCTTCAAGTATCTTCTGTAGAGCTGGGTTTGTGGATAGCTACTGTTTAATTTTTTTTTCCTCTTTCATGGAATATCTTATATTCTCTATCTATGGTGATTAAAAGTTTTACTGGGTATAATAGTCTGGGCTGACATCTGTGGTCTCTTAGAGTTTGTAGTATATCTGCCTGACCATTCTGGCTTTTAGAGTCTTTGTTGAGAAGTTGGCTGAAATTCTGAGTGGTCTGCATTTATATGTTACTTGGCCTTTTTCCCTTGTTGCTTTAAATATTCTTTCTTTGTTCTGTACATTTAGTGTTTTGATTATTATGTTGTGGGGGCTTTGTGTACTATATTTGGTTTTCTGTAGGCTTTGTGTATGTTTATAGGCATTCCTTTCTTTAGAATGCGGAAGTTTTCTTCTTTGAATTCATTGAAAATATTTTCAGAGGTCCTTTGTGGAAGGCTCCTGTCCTGTTCCCTGTCTTCTCCTACTTCCGATGTCTATCCTGTTTGATAGACATCTATCTATCTATTCTGAATGAGAATTAAGCATCTTCCTTAGGGTCATCCTTGTTGTTTAGCTTCTTTAGGACTATATGTTTTAGTATGTTTATCTTATATTATATGTCTAATATCCAGTTATAAGTGAGTTTATACCGTGTGTTTCTTTTTGCTTCTGGGTTACCTCACTCAGGATGATCTTTTCTAGATCCCACCATTTGCCTACAAATTGCATTATTTCTTTGTTTTTAATTGCTGAGTATTATTCCATTGTGTAAATGTACCATAATTTCTGTATCCATTCCTCCATTGAGAGACATCTAGGTTGTTTCCAGATTCTACCCAAACAGGGTATCAAAGGAGATACTGAGACTCATAGCCAAGCTCTGGGCAGAATGCCAGAAACCTTATGGAAGAAGAGTGAGATAGAAAGACCTGGAGGGGACAAGAACTTCACAAGGAGAACAACAGAGCCAAAAAACCTGGCCCAGGGGGTCCTATAGACCAGTACTCTAACCAAGGACCATGCATGGAGACAACCTAGACACCCTGTTCAGAGGAAGCCCATAGCCTGCTCAGTTTCCAAGTGGGTTTTTTAGTAAGGGGAACAGGAACTGTCTCTGACATGAAATCAGTGGCTAGATCTTTGATCACCTCTCCCTGTGGGTGCATCTTGCCAGTCCACAAAGGAAGATGATGCAGCTAGCCCTGATGAGACCTGATAGGCTAGAGTCAGATAAAAGGGGAGGAGGTCCTTCCCTATCAGTGGACTAGGGGAGGGACATGGGGGAGAAAAGAGAGGGTGGGTGGGACTGGGAGGAGACAAGGAAGGGGGCTACAGTGAGGATACAAAGTAAATAAATTGAAACAAACAAATGATTTTTAAAGCCCTGACATGACACTATGAGACAAGGAACCTCCAGAAAGAAAAATATTTTCTGGGCCTTGGAGCTGGTAGTCTTCTCCTTCTTCTATTCTTATTGTTCTTAGGTTTGGTCTTTTCATAGTGCCCCAGAATTTTCAAATGTTTTGTGTTAGAAACTCTTCAGATTTAACATTTTCTTTGTCTGATGTATAGATTTCTTCAACTGTGTCTTCTATGCCTGGGAATTTCCTCTTCCATCTCTTGTATTTTGTTGTTTATGCTTGTGTCTATAGTTCTTGTTCTCTTCCCTAGGTTCCCCATCTCCAGGATTCCTTCAGTTTGTGTTTTTCTTGTTGCTTCTATTTTCATTTTTCAGGTCTTACACTGAAATCCATTTCCTTCCCCTGTTTCATTCTATTTTCATTAAGCCATTTATTCATTTAATCTTTAAAGGCATCCATCCAACTTTATAATGTTGGATTTGAGGTCATCTTCTTGTGCTCCAGCTGTGTTAGGATATCTAGGGCTTGCTGTAGTAGGATGGCTGAGTTCTGGTGGTGCCATGTTGCCCTGGCTCTTGTGGATTGTGTTCTTCTGCTGGCCTTTAGCCATCTGGTTGTTCCTGGTGTTTTCTCAGTGTTTCTGATGCTTGAAGGACTCCTCAGGGAGGCAGGCAGAGCCTTGGCTCTGACAATGGGGCTCAAAGAACAGCCCACTGCTCACCGGTGCAGGATGTGATTCAGGTGGGCCTGAATGTTCCTGGGGTCCCACAAGCCTCCCCAATAAGGGAGGTAAAGCCGTGGGCCCGACCATGTAGCTCAGAGAACAGAGTACAACTCACCTCTGCTATCTGCACCCCAGGAATACCAGATAGGTAAGGATTTGGCTAGGAAGGGTCCTTGGGTAAGTGGGCGATGAGACTTCAGAAAAGCCACAAAGCTCATTTCTGCTAATTGTGTGCCCCAGGTAGACCCAACAGGTAGGGGGGTTGTTTAACCTGGCTGTTCCTGGGACCCTGCAGGCCTGCTAGTGAAGGCAGGTGGTGATATTTGGTGGTCAGCCTGCAGCTCACCTCTGCTGGCTGTGCCCCAGGTGAACCTTGAAGTTAGGGGACTAGTGGAGGTGTGTATAACCTGGGTGTTCTTGTGTCCAGTCAGGCCTTGATGTTCCTAGGACCCTGCAAGCTCCTAGGACCTTGCCTCCTTAGGAAGTCCTGAGACATGGTTGGGAGAAAATGTTCAACCCCTTCTGGTTCTGCCCCAGATGCCCCGAGTTTCTGGGTGTCCCTGGGGCCCTGCTACCCTCATCAGGAGATGTATGATAGAGCTCACTGGACAGAGCTCAGATCACCTCCGTTGGTTGTGTCCCATGAGGACCAGGCAGGCAGGGAATTGGTGGGAAGTGTTCTCCATATTCTCCTTTTTCTGAACTCACATGACCAATTCTCATTTGAGGTGTTTCACAAGGAGATTATGCTAAGACTAAGTTAGTTTATGCAATTTAATTCAGTAGTTGTTGACTATATAAATAGGTGGAAATTACTACTTAGATGTAAATATTTAAGTGCCAATATGAACAGAGCAGCATTGTTTGCTACATGAACCAATAAAGACAGTGGGCAGTATCAAGTTTGGATTATTGTTTAGGGAACATTTGGTAATTTACACTATTGATCACTAATTTACTTGAGTATGAAACTCTATAAAGGAAAGAGATCTGGGTAACATGCCAGAGAGCTGATGCTGGTAAGTGAATTGGGGTCAAAGGGAAACCTGAATATAGACTCACAATCCTGTACAGGCATGGATAATTGTGTGAAATGTCCAGAAAGTCACTAAGCAAACACACAACAGAACTACACACAACAGAACAGAAAACAGTGGTTCTTTTGGCCTCTGCAGTCCCTTGGGGTTGGCTCTCACTCGCATGGCCCTGGGCTTCTCTATACTCACAGCTGGTGTCCTTGGTGTCTTTGTGAAGTACCACCACACTCCCATTGTCAAGGCCAATAATCATGCTCTCACTTACATCCTGCTCATCACTCTGACCTTCTGTTTTTTCTGTCCCTTGCTCTTTGTTGGCCATCCCAACACAACTACCTATGTCCTAAATCATAGAGGTGTCTGGGTATCAATTGTACACCACAGTGTCTTATTTATAGGTGTCTGAATATCAATCCTAGGGTTTTGATTCTGCTATGCTGACACTAACCTTCAAGAACAAGGGAGTGGCCCCTGCCTATAATTCCAGCCCAAGAAAGTAGAGACAAAGAGTCACAAGAGCAAGTTGACTAGTGAAACAAGCTCTATTGACCATCTGTGGGTTCACTCAGTGACTAATGCAGAAAGCAATAGAGGGATATTCTATTACAGCACCCTCAGACCTTCATAGGCATGCACACCCAAATATACATATGCACCCACTCACATGTGCACCCAAAGACATGCAAACACACATACATACATCACCCATATATGTACACCAAATGAAAATGTACGTGTTAAAGCAACAAAGCAACATCAAGACCAAGTCCTCATTATTTGTCTTCATTGTGTTCCTATCACTTTACAAGCAAGGAGGTAAGGAGGGGCACTTTCTGCCTCCCTCTAGCCTACGTCAATTGAATGGTGTTTTGTTTTGTTTTTCTTTTGTTTTGGAGGGGGGTGTTTTGGTTTTCTTCTGTTTTGTTTTGTTTTTGCAGTGCTGGGAGTCAAACCTGGGATGTTGGTCCTAAGGCAAACACTATTCCACTGAGGCACATTCCAGCCTTATCAATGGACTTCCTGGATTTCCTCATATTGTCTCTGTGTGGGGAGCACAGACTTTGTCCCCAGGTGGTGGCACTATTGGGTAAAGTTTCCAAGCCTTTGGGACATGGAGTAAGTATGTCTCTAAGACCTGGCTTTGATTTTTTATAGGCTGACCCTGTTACCTGTTCTATCTCTACTCCTAACGTTCAGATGAAGTGCAGTCAGCCCACTTCCTGCTCCTGCTACCATATCGTCACTGCCTGTTGCCACAGCTTCGTCCACCATACTTCCCTGCGTTCCTCTGGAACTAAAAGCTGAGTATCCCTGCCTTCCCTTAAGATGATGTTTGTCAAAGACATTTTATTACAGCAAGAGAAAAGTAAAGCTAAAATAGATTGTCAAGACAGTTAATTAATTGTAGAAATTTTTATAAAGATAAACCTTATGAAATGTTGCTGAATGTGTGTTGTTGTTGTTTTCATTTCTTTCTAGTTTCTGTTTTAAAAAAGTATAATCAAGTGCTCAGCACCCTCCATGGTGAGTGTCTTTTTCGAAGGCCTGCCTTTCCACGTTTATACTTCATCCTGCCCTCAGAGTTCTTGATGCTTGCTGAGCTGGAGGGCCTCTGGTGGTCTAATTGACACATGAGATCCCAAAAGCAGACAAAAGAGTCAGAGACAACCCAGGCTCCCACTGTTAGGAGTCTGACAAGAAGACCAAGCTATAAAACTATAACATATATACAGAGGGCCTAGGTCTGTCCCGTGTGGGCACTGTGCTTATTGCTTCAGTCTCTGCGAGCCCCTGTGAGCCCAGGCTAGTTGATTCTGTGGGTTTTCTTGAGGTGTCCTTGACCCCTCTAACTCCTACAATCCTTCCTCCCCCTCTTCTAAAGGACTCTCCTAACTCCAGCTAATGTTTGTCTGGGGGCCTCTGCATATATTTCCAGCAGTTTCTGGGTAAAGTCTCTAATGACCATTAGGCTAGGCACCAATCTGTGAATATAGCAGAATATCATCAGGAATCATTCCATTGACTTTTTTTTTTTTTTTTGCCAGTTTTACTTGGTTCTATCCTAGGTCTCAGCAGTCCAGCTTCTTGTTCCTGGCCCTCCAGACAATGTCAGCAGTGGGCTGCCTCTAGTGGCATGAGTTTCTAGCTAGCCACTCATTGGTGGGCCACTCCACAATTTCTGTGCCACCTTTACCCCAGCACATCATGTAGGCAGGGCAAATTATAGGTTGAAAGTTATGTGACTGGGTTGGTGTCCAAATCCTACCACTTAAAGTCTTGCCTGATGACAAGAGATGGCCCATTCAGGCTCCATATCCCCCAGTTGCTAGGCATCTTAGGGTCACCCTCACCAATTCCTGGGAGTTTGCATTACAATAGGTTTCTAGCTCATCCCTGAGATGCACCCCTTAGTTCCAGCTGTTTCTTCCAGTACTCTCTCCCTCTATCCTTCCCTCACCTGATCCCTCTTGTTCCTATACTCCCCTACGCACAATGTCTGTTCTATTTCCTCTTCCCAGGGAGATTTATGCATCTAGCCTTGAATCCTCCTTCTTACTTAGCTTCTCTGTAGTATGGCTGCTTGTTTTTTCTCCTGGCCCCACGTTCCCAGAATAATGACTCATGAGACTCAAAATACGTTTACAGATAAGTAGGCCATATAGCTAGGCTCTTCTCTGACTATCTCATAACTTAAAATAACCCATTTCTACCAATCTACCTTCAGCCATGTGTCTGGTGACCTCTACTCAGGTACCATGCATCTATCCTCTTTCATGTTTTCCCAGGGGTGAATCTCCCATGCCTGACTCTATCTAAGAATCCTCTCTGCCTGCCAGATATCCCATCTTCTAGTCTACCCTTTCTTATAGGCCATAGAGTTCTTTTTTTAATTGACAGATGATGCTTCCATGCAAACACAAGCGATTCCTCCTACACTTCGCTGGGTCTGTGTGTTGTAGCATGGCTATCCATTACTTTACAGCTAATATCTATTTATAAGTGAATGCATACTATGTTTGTCTTTCTGAGTCTGGGTTACCTCAGTCAAGATGATCTTTTCTAGTTCCATCCATTTGGCTGCAAATTGTAATGATGCCCTTGCTTTTAACAGCTGAGTAATACTCCACTGTGTAAATGTTTCACATTTTCTTTATCCATTCTTCAGTTAAGGAACATCTACATTGTTTTCAGTTTCTGGACAGTATACATAAAGCTGCTATAAATATAGTTAAACAGGTGTCCTTGTGGTAGGGTGGAGCATCCTTTGGGTATATGTCCAAGAGTGGTATAGCTGGGTCAATTCCCAATTTTCTTTGATTTCTAAAATATCTGTACAAGTTTGTATTCCCACCAGCAATGGAAGAATGTCCCCTGCTCCACATCCTCTCCAACATTACCTGTCACTTGTGGTTTTGATCTTAGCCATTCTGATGGATGTAAGATGGAATCTCTGAATCATTTTGATTTGCATTTCTGACGGCTAAGGATGCTGAACATTTCTTTAAGTACTAAAGGCTGCAGACTAAGTTTAGTTCTCTGTTTAATGCTAATTAAAACTTTTGTCCTTTAGTTTTTTGCTGTTAAGTTTTAATACAATATTATAGGATTGATAAGATTTGCTAGCCCCTTTACAAATTATGTTTAAATAAGAGTTTTGCTTTGATTTTAGTTTAAAAAGAGCAGATTTAAAGTTATGCTAAAGATTATAGTTGAGTACAAGATTGAGTTTTACCTAGTACCTTTGTTTAGGTTGTTTTTTTAAGGTTAAATTTTAAATGGATAATCATAAAGTTTGTCTATGTAGGTCTACCTAAACTTTGGTTTTAAAACATACATTAATAAGACATGCTTACTCAAATCTTGTCCCATAATTCATCGTTCTGACTTACCTCTCAGATCAAGCTCACAGATGGACCCTTGGACCCTGATATTTTGGTTATGTTGTTCTCCTTGTGGAGCTCCTGGCCCCTAAAGGTCTTCCTATCTCCCCCTTCTTTCATAAGATTTCCTGCCATCAGGGGCTTGTCTGAGACTGATTCTCCAACCAAGGACCATACATGGATATAACCCAGAACCCCTGCTCAGACATAGCCCATGGCAGCTCAGTCCCCAAGCGAGTTTCCTAGTAAGGGGAACAGGGACCGTCTCTGACATAAACTCAGTGTCTAGCTCTTTTACCTTCATACCTCCTGTGTGAGGAGCAGCCTAGCTAGGCCACAGAGGAGGACATTGCAGCCAAGTCCCGGTGGGACCTGATAAGCTAGGGACAGATGGAAGGGGAGGAGGACCTACCCTATCAGTGGACTTAGGGAGTGGCAGGGAGTAGATGAGGGAGGCAGGGTGGTGTTGGGAGGGAATGAGGGAGGGGGCTACAGCTAGGATATAAAGTAAATAAACTGTAATTACTATAAAAATTAAAATTTAGTTAAAAAATATATTTTCTGCCATTAAAAAACAAGAAAATCATGAAATTTGCAGGCAAATGGATGGAACTAGAAAAGATCATCCTGAGTGAGGTGTCCCAGAAGCAGAAAGACACACATAGTATATACTCACTTACAAGTGGATATTAGACATATAATATAGGATAATCATACTAAAATGTATACTCCTAAAGAACCTAAACAAGAAGGAGGACCCTGGGTAAGATGCTCAATCCTCATTCAGAAAGGCAAATGGGATAGACCTCAGAAGAAGGGGAAAAGAGGGAACAGGACAGGAGCCTATCACAGAGGGCCTCTGAAAGACTCTACCATACAGGGTATCAAAGCAGATGCTGAGACACATAGCCAAACTTTGAGCAGAGTGCAGGGAAATTCAAGAGACTACTTAAAGTGAGTTTTTAATACAGGAATCCACAGTGTAGGAGGTCAGCATAGAATAAAGCAAAAGTTGTTGGTGTAATGATTAGGTGTGAGACAGTGGTCCTAGGGAGGCGGCTCAGGAGGTAGAGCCCCAGCAGATCTTACAGTGGGTTTGGTTTTCTACACCCACATGGGGACTCAATTATCTACTTTCAAGGGATTTGAAACCCTCTCTGGCCTCTGTGGCCACTGCACTGCACATTCTAAATAGACTTGCAGACTAAACACTCATGCACACAAATTAAAAATAAATATTTTTGTTTCAGGGTGCAAAAATTTTATATAACTCATGTCTTGGGTCTGTAGATTGCCTCTTTCTCTGATCATGGTCTCAGTCACATGGGAGACTATCACTTTTCAGGTCTTAGAGCTGTAAGACCAGTGGGCATCAGCCTCCAGCTAGGAAAGACCGGGGCTTAGTGGCTCCTGCTTATCAGTGACTCCTGACATGCTTATCAGGCTACCTCATGCTGAAAATGGACCTTAATGATTTATTTTGTGCAGGTTCCTCATTTTCTTTCATTTTTGTTGGTCCTATTTTCAAATTTATTTTTAACTTTTTGAACTGATCTAACAATTTTTAACTCTCTTTAGCATAGGATCAACATTCTACTAAGGTTTCTAAAAGCATCTAGTTATGTTGTTAATTGTTGATGTGTTAATTTATTTCTTAATTGTTGACTTAGTGGATTCCTGAGTTAGCCCTCTCATACAAAGAATAAAGCAGCATCTGACTGTAGTTAGATTTGCTGTAGTTATTTTTGCTACAATTATGAGAGAGGCCAGGACTGAAGTCACCAACCCTTTCTGCTCTTTAAATTACCCTCTGTCAGTGTTAAGTGTATAGTGCATTTGTGAATGTGTGCTTCGTCCTTAAAGGCTCTCATTGATCACAATTTCCTTCTCTGTCCTTCACCACCCTACCTATCTTTCACTGTCACATGGAGATGGTGGCTCAGACTACTCTGTTGTAATTCTTAGAGCCCAGAATTTTGCACTGAGCCATGTAACACAGTGATTAGCAACCTCTGGGTCCCAAACCCCTTATGGGTAAAATGACCCTTTCCCAGGGATCACCTAAGTCCATCAGGAACTGCATTAAAATGTCATAACCTCGAGAAGGTTGACAACCACTAGGGTAACACATCAATATCATGGATGTAGTCAGTTATGAGCCTAATGGCTTCTCTTACTGCTATCTAAGACTGAACTTTGACTTTTCAGAGAAACTGAAAAGGATAAGTAAATAATACTGATAAAGGTTTTATGTTGTATGATTAATTTTAGCTCAAGGTACTATAATTATCACCTTGCCTCTATCTGCAGCCAATAATGGAATATGGGTGTTGTTAGTCTGTGTATTCTGTCTGCCTGTGCACTATCTGCTTAGTTAGACCATGTGTTTATAGCAGGCATTGAAATGTGAAAATGAATGCATTAACGAATAAAGTGCTGAAGTCATCAGGACATACTGTATGTACAGACTAGTTTCTGTCACATCTGCAAACCAATTCTCAATGTACACATTTTGTCACGTTTAAATCTATTACCTTAAAGAACAATTTTTACAGAAACC